CAAGATATTGAATATGGCTCCCTGTGTATACAGCAGGTCTTTGTTGTCTATCTGTTCTATGTACAGTAGTGTGTGTCTGTTTACCCCAAACTCCCAGTTTATCACTCCCTCCCACCCTTCCCTTTTGGGAAGCACATGTTTGTTTTCTGTGTCTGAGAGTCTGTTTCTATTTTGTATATAAGTTCATTTATATCACTTTTTCAGATTCCACATATAAGGGGTATCACAGTATATTTGTCTTCCTCTGCCTGACTTAAGCTGAAGAATCGTGAGGGACTTAAGCAGAACACACACATCCCATAGAGCTGGTTTTAGCATCCCTAGTTTGCAAAGTTTCTTACCAACGAGTAGACTTTGGGGAATGTAGTAAACTCCTCCAATTCTTCACCAATGCGGAATTTCTATAGTTTTGCAAATCAGAAAACACTCTTTCCTCTGTTTCATCCCTTCCCTCTGCCATTGCTAATTTATTTATTTAACACACACTCTGTGTCTCCTCTGCTGCGTGGCCTCTGTACCAGGTCCAGTCAGCCTAAAGGTGAATAACGTTGAATAGACACGGTGTCCAGTAGCTCACAGTCTCACCATGACAACACTGTACTCAAAAAGCAAAGAGCTCTATGTAGGTGCCCCTTTCTTAATTGTCATGTCTATTTTGGAAAGATGTTCTTAGGTTTACACTCTAGCTTGAGTGGTTCACAAATCTTGGTAGGAGACAGAAGTAGGGGGGGATAGCTTCCTGAAGATGAATAGCGTGAAGGAAGTTTACAAGAGGATGCGGTTCAGCTAAAAAGCAATCCCAAGGAGTGAATTCTGAAAAGCAGGTCTAGCACCCTCGGCAATTTAAAAATGGGAACATTTCTTGCCGCACTTCCTCAGGTTCGTCATTTCTGGCAGGTGAGAAAATCTGCTTCATCTTTGAGCAGGAGCGAGAGCTGTTTGATAAAAGCTAGCGCTCTGGATGTCATTCCTCAGGTAGATTAAGACTTAATTAAGTGATTTCACCACATTTGGCATAGTTTCTTTTTCCTTCTCGCTGTTGGAGTCTCTTCAGTTGCTTGGAGGGGATTTTTATCTGTCTTTGTCACAGAAGTTAGCCCTGGAGATGCAGTGACATTTATGAAAAAGCCCCACACTGGTGACAAACACTCCACAAGGCTTTATACTTGTGCGGTGGCAGCTGTGATCAACAGTGTAATAAAACTCAACCGAAGGTTTCATTCAAATACCGCTTGTTGATTAGCCCCCAGTGGTGAGTGAGCAAAGGTCTGATGAGTGTTATACAATATCTGGGACTGGAGTTTCCATCTGGGATGAAAGGATGTTTTGTCTCACTTCACCAGAGCTTTCCATTTCATTGATCTGTCTATGCTGAATAAAGGTCTGATGATAAAACTAATAACTTTTCAGGGTTTTTTTTTTTTTTTTGAGGCAAAATAGTAATTTGTTCTCCAGCACATTCACCACCAAGTAAACAGGCTGGGAGGACTCTCTCTGTCCTCCTGTAATGACTAACTCCCTGGATAACACATCATCCATCTATTAATATATGGGATATATTTCAATGTTTTAGTGTCCTCATTCTCATTCTGACTGTGAGAGGATGTCCCTCCATGTTTGTTGTCCTCAGGTGACATTTCCAGCTCTCATGCTTTACAAAACCTCTGTATTCAGCATACATACCCCTCAGCAGGACAGTGAGTCCCCTACATGCACAAGAGTTCTGTTCAGAGAGCGTGTCATAAGTCCAGTTTGTTCTGAAGTTCAACACAGCTAGACGAGGTACCCAGCTAACACAATTGCCTACATAGTACTGTACTGTAATAGGTTTATAATACTTTTCACCCAATAGTAAAAACAAACTAAAAGAAAACATTATTTAATCTTACAATACAATACCTTGAAAAGTACAGTAGTATACAGTACAGTAGCTGGGATAAAGGGGCTGGCATCGAGTGAATCGGCTAGAAGAGTTACTGACCGGGGCGGGTGGGGGGTAGAGAAGGTGGGAGATGGCAGAGCTGCAGGGTCAGCAGCAGGAGAGGGAGGCACGCTGCAGCGCCTCTCATCCTGACAGGACTGGACGTGCAAGTGCATGCACACTTGGTCCCGGCTTTGAAAGTTCGCAACTCGGAGGTTCGTATGTAGGAGGCTTACTGTATTTCCCTGGAACATTCTGCGATTTTTCCTCCCTAATCAACAAAATTTCAACATGTCGACCCGACACTTCTGCACTTACCCTGGAGAGTAGGGGGATCTAGGGTCACCCAGGGAAACTTGACTTTATTCTGTTCTCTAAGGTACTGCTTTCATTTAAACCTTTGTCTTTATCCTCTTTCTCTCTGATTACCCACCAGTCTTCCAACCCCTTCTCCCCATCTGTATTCTGCTCTTTAGCCAGGGCAATGTCTTTTGAGGTGACAATCTGATTGCATGTGCCCCTTTCTCCCTTGTAGATTCAAGGACTTCTCAGTCTAGAGAATGAAGCCCAGAATCCTCCTCTGACATCCAAGCTTCATTGTCTGGCGTCTCTTGCATGGAGACACCCGTTGCCCCAGACACTCTGAACTGCTTCTGATCTCTGAACTGTACGCTCTTGCCCTTAGCACCTGTCCTTCCCTTTGGCGACATGGCACACACCCTACTCCCTTGGTTTGTCTGCCCCCACCCCCACCTCCAAGCGTCTTCCCAGTGGCATGTTACCACTTTCCGCTGCTTTGAAAACACCCTCTCCAAGAGACTGTCACCCAGACTCCAATCATGACTCTGTCACTTACTAGCTCCAGACCGTGAAGAAGTCATTATCCCACCTCTTGCTGCTTTTGCTTCATTTGTGACACAGGGTAAAATTAGTGCTCACCACACCAGATTGCTCTTAACCCCATATAAGCGAATGAATGAGTGAGTGATGTCGCTCAGTCGTGTCCAACTCTTTGCAGTCCCATGGACTGTACCCTGCCAGGCTCGTCTGTACATGGGATTCTCCAGGCAAGAATATTGGAGTGGGTTGCCATTTCCTTCTCCAGGGGATCTTCCTGACCCAGGGATCGAACCCGGGTCTCCTGCATTGCAGGCAGATTGTTTACCACTTGAGCCACCAGGGAAGCCTATATAAACACACACATATAATGAATTTGTCATGTGAGGAAACTGTAAATTATTATGACTTACTCCATTAACAGTACCACAATTTGTATGTTTTTAGTTACATTGAGGGTAATAAAAAAGCAAACCTACTGGGTCCCAAGATCATAAATAGAAGAAAGCATTCCAAAGCCAAATATTTGGGGATTACCAGTTAATTAGAATCAGTTGTTTGCTGTTATTTCTTGTTGGTTAAGATAGCTCATACGTAGTTTTTGAAATTCCAGATTAAAATATATTTTAGGATTTAAATGATACCTATACTGAAAAAATAAAATGTAAAATAGATATCCGATAATTACTCAATTGCTTTTCCAATGTCAGTTGAATATTTTATTGGGAAAGCATTTTCAAATTTCAGGATCTTTATCTTAGGAGAATGGAGATTGACATTTGTACAGACTTTGATGATTCATATAATTACCATACCACTTAGCCTAGGTATGCTTAAATTTTGCTGTCTCCAGGACTTAGGTTTGAGTTTTGAAGGGGTACATAGCATCTGATCCTAAGCCAGGTTTAGGATCTCAGGGGACCCTGATCAGCAGGAGAGAGCAGGTGCTTTCAGCTGACTTTTGGAAAGCTGTTTGGATCTCTAGTTGGTTTGGGGCCAGATCACACTTCCATTTAAAGTAATGGTCTCAGGATTCTAGGAGCCCTGATGTTATGACACCCAGGGTATCTTACAGTTGGGACAGAGTGGGATTTAATAAAGCTATAGCTTTAAATAAAAGCAGGCTCCACTCTTGAAAATGGACTGGAATAGAGGGAAACTTCAGGAAACTTTAAGGAGATGGGACTTCCTTGGCCTCCCTGGCAGCCACTGGTGATGTCCTTCTGGGGCCAAGGCTGCACTCCTGGGACTTTCTGAATTGCCTTGGAGCATCAGGAGCTGGTTACTGATCTGATGGTTCACTGACCAAATCAGGATAAGAGAGGAAAGGGCAGCCAATTATTGCCATAGCCGGGATTTGCCAAGGATCATAGTAGAAACTGGGGCATTTCTGGGAAATCAAGTATTGTGGTTACTTTAAAGCTGGAGTGAGGAGAGACGGTTAAAAAATAAAGGGAGTAAACAGATTTATTACAAATGATTGCCTTCCCCTTGCCTGTGTCCCTCATTCTGTCTGCCTGTCTTTTTTGCTTGCATATCTATGACTTTTTTCTTTCCTAGTAGGTTTAAGGGTATGTATAGTGCTCAGAAAACCCATGCAATAATAAAAAATTCCTATAAAAACCAAAGAACCTCCCTCTGTTAAGGTGTCACTATGTTGCAAACTGCATTATCATGTATCATAGTGGCATCTGGTAATACTGCAATGTTTATGAAGCCCTTGTGTTTTGAGATTCTTTATGTTTACAATAATGCACAATGTTTTACATTTCATATAGGCATTAACTATCTGCAGAGGCATCTGCGTTGCTGGTCTGAGCATGATATGTCTCTTTTGCTTTGGAGCTTTTCAATTTGAGGATTGTTGTGAGAAAAATAGATTTAACTTCATTTCCTCTCTCTTATAACTGCCAGTGTATGTTAACCATTCATTCATTCAGTAAACATTTAATAACTGTCTATGCTGTGTGCCAAGCACCGTTAGAGTGTATGTGGGACACGCAGAGAAATAAGATGTGGTTTTAGGCTCTAAGGATTCACCATCTGCTAAAAATTTTTTCTATGTTAAGAATATCTTCCTTTGTTTTTACTAACAATCAAATCTTAATGTTTACACTTGGTAGAATCTACTATGATCAGCAATAATATACTTGCATCATCATTTAACTGCCAACTTAAATTTAAACTTTTATCTCTCCTTACCTCTATCTCTGATCACATCCTGGGCGTCTTTTCTGTGAAGCTGAGTCATCCAATGATGGCTATTCCGGAACATGAAACCCTTGATTCCAAAGAGGTAAATGTAGAATATAATTGAACATCTGCTTATCCATCTCCATGTAATATTGGATTGTAGAAGTAAGTCAATCTTCTATTAAAAATTAATAAAATCTGTTTTATTTTAAAGATAGAATGAACTGGCCTACTCTGTGTTGTTCAAAAACATCTGATAGTTAAGGAGTAAATTCTTGCTTCTCAATGTGGAAGGTGGTACTAGAGGTGCCCATGTATGTAGCACTTTGATCACAAACTACTTCTATCTCATCTATTTTTATGATTTTTCTCTCTGGATTCATTATGTGAAGCCATTGTTGTTTTCTTTTTCTAGAAGGTCAGTGAATGTCCCATAATATTTATAAGTGTCACCTAGTCAGAAATCCCAGGACCTTCTGGTAGTTCAGTTTTCCAACCCCCAAGTGAATTTTGCATATGGCGGGTAGCATGCAGGCAAAAGTGTGCCATCTCAAATATAGCTCTAAATTTCATTCAAATATTGAGCCACTTTCACATTTTGATCTGACAGAGAAAAATAAATGAAAAGGCCTTTCTTATTTTAAAAGAATGCTATACCAAAGGGGCAAGAAAAAATTGTATTAAAAAATTGAATTTTCTGTCGAGCAAGAATAATTGAGCAATATTTTCTTCTATATCCCTTTAGGCAAAGTAGTAAAGGTAAGGGGAAAAAGTACTTTTTTAAAGGACTTGTCTTTATGAAGGTGAAAAGTGAATTCATTCATTCATTCTAGATACCCTTACAAATTAGTCATGCTCAATTTTGTAGCCTCCAAGTTTAAATATATATATATAATACAATAATACAAAAGAGAGATAAAAATAATAAAATACCAAATAAAATTATAAATGAAATCTGAATTTTTCCCCAAAGTATATTTTCCACAATTTGGGGCATATTTCATAAACTGACATCCCAATTTATGCAAATTTTGAAATTTCTAACATACAGTATTGATGTGTCCCTCTGCTATAACTTTAGTTATTAATATAAAAGTATGCTATAAATAGGCATGGATTTGTATCCTTGACCATATCTCTGATTTTTTTAGAACCAGGATTATTGGTGTAATGAGTATGCACATATGGGAAAATTTTGATACATGTAGCCAAGTTATATTGCTGAATGATTTTAGCAATTCTTCTTATCAGAAGCCTGTTGTTTTCTGTGGACACATGCCAGCATTAAGAATGATTATAATTACCAATTTATTGAGAGTTTACCATATGTTAACGTGCTATGCACTTTAGATGCATTGTTTTACTTAATCTTCAAAAAACATCGTAAGTTGAGTATTACTTTTCCCATTTTACAGAGGAGGAAACGGGCTGAGGGGTATCCATTTATTGATAATCTAAAGATCATATGATATCACATACATGAAATATGTATGTGATACATATCTACAATATGTAGATACATCATATCTACAATATGATACAAATGAACTTATTTACAAAACAGAGACATACACGTCGATATAGAAAATCACAAAATTAATAAGGGAAAAAAGAGAGGAGGATAAATTGAGAGGTGGGGATTAATAGATACACACTGCTGTGTATAAAATAGATGAACAAGGTCCTACTGTATAGCACAGGGAACTATATTCAGTACCTTGTAATAACCTATAATGGAAAAGAATCTGAAAAAGAGTATATGTATATATCATACACACATTCTTTTTCAGATTCTTTTCCATTAGGGGTTATATATATTATATATAATATATTAATATATGTATAACTGAATCACTTTGCTATATACCAGAAATGAACATTACATTGTAAATCAAACTACATTTCAATAAAAATAAATATATATCAAACTCAAAAAAAAAAAAGAATGTTTTTGATAATTAAGCTACCATTTTAGGCATCCAGTGTGCTGTATTTTACTTAGTTATACTGGCACATGTAGAGTGATTTAATAACTTTAGACAGTTTCTTATTCTGTGTGATCAACAGTAATATTTACCTGTACATTTTCCCCAAATCTTCTTTTTGGTATTTATTTACCCTCAAAGCACTAAACAAGAAAACTACCCATTTTTATAAAGCAATTCTGACCTTATGACCATATGATCTAGTGAGTAAAGTGTGCTAGTTACCGGCCCAGTGCAAACACACTCATGGGAGGACCTTGATCAAACCTCAGAATTTCCCTCTTGGTTTTCTCTCATTTCCTAAAGACAGCAGCCTGCCTTTTGGACTACCAGATTGCTGTTTCTTTTGCTTGATCCTGCTATTTGTAGGCACTAGTTGTTCAAATTGGTTCAGGAATTCAGTTAAAAACAACCTCAGATGTACTTGATTTAATTTCATCCTTATTTTTATAAGCCCTATACTTTATAAAGTCCATTTGAAAGGGCTCCCCTTGTGGCTCAGCTAGTAACAAATCTGCCTGCAATGTGATTTAATTTTATCAATATTTTTGTAAGTCCTATGCTTTATAAAGTCCATTTAAAAACAGCTAACTCAAAACAGTTCAGCTGATCATCTGGGACAGTGGTTCTTAGCTCTGGCTCAGCATTAAAATCTCCTGGGACTTTTTTTTCAGCCTTGCCCAGTGGCTTGCGGAATCTTAGTTCTCCAACCAGGGGTCTAATCTGTGGCCCCTGCACTGGGAATAGAGTCTTAACTACTGGACCACCAGGGAAGTCCCCTCACAGGACTTTATAAAGCCCGAAGAGTGCACTTCCCTTCTAGGAAAATGGAATCAAGAATCTCTAGAGGTGGGCAAAGGCAGGTTTAAAATCGCTGCCAGTGATTTACATGTACAACCGGAGTTGAGAGCCTCAAATTCTAGCTCCTTCATTGTCATCTAGAAAAGCCAATCAAGTCAATCTTGGAAACAAAAATTTGAAAGTAAAAGCAAAAGAATCATAAAAGAAATGTTGCTTTAGGGAATGCTTTGAATTAATAAAGATTTGGGTCACAAATTCTTCCTGTCTACTGTCATAGAAGTTTAGCCTATCCTGTAATCTATGGTAGATTACTTTTGAGAGATTTGTTCTACATTGAGATTCACTGTTACTGAGTTAATAAAACCTAATATTTTCTGTTTCATTTGACATTCTACACAAGGTTTGGAAAATACTTAGACTGGGGCTGGGCATAACATCTGATGTGAACTAAGTCCATGGGCTTTTGTTGTTCAGTTGCTAAGCTGTGTTTGAGGAAGAAGAAGGTGAGATCCCTAAATAATGGATTTAAACATTGTGATCAGCTGGCTGATCAGTTTTCAAAGAAGGTCATTTTCATAGATTTCTTTTTCTTTTGAGTGTGCTTACATTAATTTTTTTAAGTAATTTTATTGAAGTATAGTTGATTCACAGTATTGTATTAAGCTCCATAGCAACGTGATTCAGTTATACATATATACATTCTTTTTCATATTCTTTTCCATTATGATTTATCAAAGGATATTGAATGTAGTTCCCTGTGCCATACAGTAGGACTTTGCTGTTTGTCCAGCCTATATATAGTAGTTTGCATCTGCTCATCCCAAACTCCCAATCTTTCTCCCTTTTCCTGCCACTTCCCCCGCAACCACAAGTCTGTTCTCTATATCCATTTCTGTTTTGTAGATATGTTCATTTGTGTTGTATTTTAGACTCCACATATAAGTGATATCACATGGTATATGTCCTTCTCTTTCTGACTTATTTCTCTTAGTGTGATAGTCTCTAGGTCCACACATGTTGCCGTAAATGACGTTATTTAATCCTTTTATATGGCTTAGTAGTATTCCACATATATATGTGTGTGTGTATGTATGTATATATATGTATATGTGTATGTATATATATGTATATGTGTACATACATATATGTAGTGTGTATACATATATATGTGTATGCACACATCACATCTTTTTTATCGGCTCATCTGTTGATGGACATTTAGGTTATTTCCATGTCTTGTCTATTGTAAATAGTGCAGCTAAGAACATAGGAGCTCATGTATATTTTTGAATTAGTTTTGTCTGGCTATATATGCCCAGGAGTGGAATTACTGGATCCTATGACAACTCTATTTTTGTTTTTTTGAGGAACCTTTACACTATTTTCCATAGTGGCTTTACCAATTTACATTCCCACCAATTGTTGACACCAATGCAGTAATTTAGAGCAGACTCTCTGCCTGAGATAAATGCTTTCTTGTTATAGTTATTTAGAAAGAAGTAATTTCCATTAGCAGTCATCATCATCATTTCTGATTGTATTCCTCATGTCTGGTGAATTCAGCAACTTGGATCCACAACAAGTTTAGATAGCTCACTTCTCTGTCTACAAGTTTAAATGTGAAAGTCAGGCTGAGAATGAGATATAACTGACCTGCCAATCTTCACATCACCTGCTACATGCAGTCCTAGGCCTATTTCATTTTTAACTTGAGGGTCAATTGATTTCCAAGAAATGGTTAAATATGCATTTGGTTCTGACCTTTCAGATCCATTTGTTATTAACACAACTGAAGAGCTAATCAGTCACTACTTGCTCATAAACACATACTAGGCAAATTCTTTTCCTGTGTTCTTATTCCTTCTCTTTGCAGATTTTTGATAAATACTTGAGTTGGCAAGATAACAATTCTGCTGGCAAGGTGACCATCTAGGATTGATTTACTCCTGTGGTGTATAGAAGATTTTGTGTTCATTTTATTTTTAATTCCAGAACCTCCATTGATGTCTCAAGTTCTAATTTTATGGGACAAGTGTCTCATTCCTTTATTTTTATTCTCTAGATGAGAGCACAGAAAAGAGAAAAATAAGTTATTTGTCCATGGAAGCCACTCTCATTTTTTTGTTTGGTTCAAGGGTAAAAATGGAATTATCAAGAGGAATGGGCCCACTCTGTTCCCTGCAAGCAATTTCCCATAAATATTATTTATCAAAATCAAGCTTTGATAAATCTTGGATTGCAGTGTTCAAGGTTGTAACCTTATAGAAGTACTTTATATCTGTATATTTATAACTACTGATGAAAAGAAGATTCATATGCTTTGATTGACAACTGGTTG